TTGAACCTGTCATTGATACTGTCTCAACCCAGATGTTTCGAAGAATGGAACTTGCATTATTTTTAACATATTGTTTACCCAATACTATGTCAATTAATTCCATAATGTTGTATAATGATACTAAGGCCTTGTTGGGGCTCTTAACTGACTGGATCTTTACTCTGTTAGACCTATCTTCAGACCATAGAAGGTCTCCCCAAGAGGCCACTGAACTTATCTGGACAATAAGACGCTGAACTTTAGGCTAGGCAGGTGTTTGCAAGCAATGAATCTCAACTGAACTTGAACTATGGTTATGCAACAAGGTGGAGGAATCCACCATGGGGGGAGGGGTATGGGAGGGGTGGGGGGGATCCCCAGCGCCTATAAAACTGTACTACATAATATAATGTAAAAAAAAAAAAAAGTTGAAAAAAAAAAAAGAATAGAAAGAAAAATAGAAATTCACAATGCCATGAAGTTAAATGACATGTTACTAGATATGACAATCTCCATTACACAATTACTATACCTTCCCTTAAATGAAGAGCCACAAAATAAAATCAACATCCGAGAGAAAAAAGAAATTAACAACACCAAGAAGTTAAACAACATGCTAGTAAATGTATAACGTGTAGCTGAAGAAGTGAAAATCAAGAACCTTCTTGAAGAAAATGATGCCACTGTATGATCTACGAGTCATTGAATGATCCAATCAGAAGAAAGTATCCCGAAGAGATGAAAACAACAGAAAACAACAAAACCCATGTGATAAGAGTCTCCGCTGATCTTTGTTGGAGTGTGTCTCCTCCAGCCAATAAACAGATGGGGTTTTGATTTTTAGTCCAGTCTACTAATCTGTGATGTTTGATTGAGTTTAAGCCATTTACATTCAGAGTTAAATATACATAGGTGGTACTTTGGTCCTGCCATTTTAGCAATGGGTTTTCATTGGTTTAGTCTTCTGTTGTCATTCTACTGGGATGTTCTTCCCATTTGACTTTGGTTTTGGGTAGGTCCTATTCCTCTTCTCTGTCAAGAGAACATCTTGAAGTATCATTTGTAGGGCAGGTTTGGAAGAGGCAAATTCTTTTAGCTTTTCTTTACCCTGGAAGAATTTTATTTCATTTTCAAAGATGAAAGAAAGCTTTGCCGGGTATGTTATCCTGGGCCGACAATTTTTTTCTTTTAGAATCTGGAATATGTCACTCCATTCTCTTCTGGCATGTAGAGTTTCCTGTGAGAGATCTCCTGTGAGATTAATTGGCATTTCTTTATATGTCAATTGATGTTTTTTTTTACGTGCACATTTAAGGATTTTTCCCCTTTATTCAATTGAAGAGAGTTTGATAATTATATGTCTTGGTGAAGATCACTTTAGATTAATCCTGTTAGGAGTTCTGTGTCCCTCCTGGATCTTGTTTCCCAATTCTTTCTCCAGATTAGGGAAATTTTCCTTGATTATTTCATTAAATACACTTGCAAACCCAGCTTCTCTTTCTGCACCTTCTGGGACACCCATAACTCTTATATTTGGCCTCTTCAATAGTGTCTTTCAATTCTTGAATACTTTCTTTGGCCTGATGCAGCTCTGCTTCCAGCTTTTTGTTTGCTTCCCCCTGGTGGCAGGAGATATCTGCCAATTCTGAGATTTTTTCTTCTGCTTGCTTCATTCTATTTTGGAGACTCTCCACTGTACTTTTAATTTGCTCTACTGTGTTCTTCATTTCTGATATACCAGCCTTGATTTGCTTTACTGCTTCTTTAAATTCTTTGAACTCTTGCATGAGCTTCTCATTTTTCACCAGAATCTTCAAAATGAGTCTTATGGATTCTGTGTCCCCCATCTTCTCAATGTCTTCCTCAGTTAACTCTGAGGTTGGCATAGGGTTTTGCTCCTTTGCAGGGGAGTGCTCAGTAATATTCATTGTGCCTTTGTCTCTTCTTTAGCTCTTGATCATTGTACTTCTGGTTAGCAGAGTCTTCTTCTTGGGGGCAGGTTTCTAAGCTGTGTCACCCACCAGTCTACAATTGATTTTACTTATTGCCGTTGGCACACAATTTTTGCTTGCAGCCACTTGTGCCACAACCTCCAGCAAGTTCCAGATCTGGGTTCTTATGTCAGATATGCACCGTGGTCTCCACAGCCCCAGCTCTTGGCTCACCACTCTCCATGTCCTGTGATACCGTGCTGAGGCTGCACCATTGTCTCTGCAACCTTTCTCCCACTTCCGGTTGGAGTGGGTTTCAGGATTAGAGAGACACCAAGTGTCCTATCTAGTTAGGTTGTTGGTGGCGCTGATCTTGTCGGAACCTGTGGGACGTTAGGTCTGGGTGCCACATGGACCTATTTTAACCAGTAAAATGTCACAGTCGGTATTATTTTCCTGTGAGACCTCAGCAAGCTCTTGTGAGCTCACCACATGCGCATTTCTCTGTTGTCTCCTGCAGTCCCAGTTTGCCAGGTTAGAAATGAGCGCACTCCCTGCTTAGAGCATGCTCAGTGCTTTCCCTTGCCCTTTTCTCCTTATGCAAAATGGCGCCCAATTCAGCTCTAGGGGGCTGACTGGGCTATGAAATTCACTCTGTTCTCACAGTGCCTGAGATTTGCTTCTCTGCTCCTGGTCAAGTCAAATGGACCAGCAGGATGGACAGTACTTTGTCTGGGTTCACCTCCCAAGCTCCCAGTGAAAGTCCCTTCCCACCTGGTTGCTGGTGGAGTTCTGGCTGCTGTTGGAGTTCAGATAGCCATGCTGGAGTATCAGTCACTGCAACACCACACTGCTGTGCCTACTGCTTTCCTGAGTCTGTCAGTCTCCAGATATCCCTCTGCTGCTGTTCTGTCCTTTCCTATTTCCTGAAATATGTCCTCTCTGCTTCATCCTGATTAAATGTTTCTCCATCTGATTAAACGTGTCCTTACCCTATTCTGCCATCTTGATTCTCTCTCTCCCCCTTAAACTCTATTTCTATGCTTGTCACACAGCCATCAATTTGCTTTCTATTTCCATGTTATTGACTGTGTAAATTATTTCCTATTATTGACACCGTGCACTGGATGAACAACAAAGCTGGCCTTCTGTGCTTTAGCATACTGTTCTCTTGTGTCATCCACATGTTACCAAAATCCCTCACACATTTCATGAGAAATCAACACTTCATTCTATTGATACATTGAGGTGTATTTTGTTCTCCATAAGTGGAGATGGTGTTTGCTGAATCATTTGTTTCATGTTGGCTGCTGTAAACACTGGTGTGTAAACATTGGTTTGAGTGGGTATTGTCAGGTCTCTTGGGCATACGGCTAAAGGTGGAATGGTTAGGTCATAGGTGATTTATATGTCTATTCCTTGGAAAGGATCCAATAATTTGGATATGGGAGCTGTATTAACATGTCTCTTTCCATCCTCCATGTATGTTGGCTCTGCAGTTCTCTGAATGACCTGTCACTTGTAATGATCTTGCTCTCCATTTGTAAATCTCATGGTATCTTACCTGGTGTATGTGAGGTGCTATCTCAATGTGGCTTTGATGGGTACATCTATGGTTACTGACGATTAGTGGGCTGTATGCTGCTTTTTAGCCACATGTTTATCTCTGTAGAAACATTCAGTTTCTACTCCCATTGTCAGAGGTTTTTCTTCTACTGTTACTGTTGTTGCTCCTACTTCTAAGCATATTTTGATGCCAGGCTTTCTCTGAGGTGCTTTGTGGGCATCTCCCATTCTCTGCATGGTGTTTTCTCTTTCATGATGTCATTCATACACAAAGCGTTTTGGTCTGATGCAGTGTGGCCTGTCTGTTTGTTCCTTACAAGCATGGACCTTAAGACAATAAATAAGTGCACGTGGAATGTATTGATAGCACTATGTAAAGCTAATGTAAATTTCAGGTGACATAACTGTTTAAGATGAACCCAGGTAATTGAGTAAGTCTGCAACTAACTGGATGATGCCTGAATACATTGCTCAGGTGTTTTAAGAGACACATGAGTGTCTTTGTGCAGCACATGGTCTTTAATGCCAGATGAGTGCTGATAAACACTTTGAGTTTTGGTTTGTTCTGGAACATCTTCATTTCATCTTCATTTGATGATTTAATAGAGATGATCCACAGTGGCATGAGGCCAGTGGCTACAAAGTGCATAAAAGTTTGATATTTAAAAGATTCATATATTTGTATTAGAACATGGACTTACAAAGAGAAGGACATACAAAGATGTTTCCTTAAATCTGTCACTTTGTATTTTACAATTTGATTTTTAAAAAGTGACCAGCATTCTAGAATTCTCTCAGATGCCTTTTATCTCTAAGGTTTTTTGACATCTCTGTTCATTATGGCCTCTTGAGTAGCAACAATAGCAGAAGGAAAAATCTATTTCTCACTTTGTCCTTCCCTCTGAAATGTCTCCTTTCAAATAATAATAAAAAATAAACCTTAAAAATTGAGCTTTGATGGTAATTAGGAAAGGAATGTACTTCTGGAAATTTCCAAACCCTGAAATGGTGTAAGGTCATGGTGTACACCAGAAAAATTTGTGCTGCTGCTCCCTCCCTTTCTGCACATTGGAATATGTCAAGCTGAAACATTCCTGCATGAACTCACCAAACAACCTTCATGATCACCTCAATTATCAAAGTGGTTCCCTGACAAGGTCCTGGCCCAGATCTCGTGCTCATTCCTCCTGGGAGTATTGTTGTTCATAGAGTTGGATGACATGACACCACCAGGGGCTGAGGAGGATGCAGAGCAAACATGTTTTCCATCTTGTGTTTTGACCCTGATGGGATCTTGCACCCGCAGAGCCCCAGGGCCAGAAGGACTCCATATTCCTCAAGGGAATCTGTAATGAGACAGCTGCGGGAGTATTAGACTTGCCCCTCCAGTACACAGGCAGCTCACACACCCAAACACTATATACATGCATCTGTCACACCGTGCCAGTTCCTTGAACCTGCCTCCTAGGCTTTTGCATAACCTCCCAGATGCTTTCTCCACTGTTTCTCCTTCTCATTCTGCAGCTTCCCTGCCTCGTGTGCCGGCTGCCTGGTAACCACAACTGCTTTCATGTCATGGACCATGGTAATTCCCAGGATGGAGATGTGCTGCTGGCTGCCTTCTTACCACTATGTTTATACTATGTCGAGATAATCCCGAACAATCCTGAAGAACACCTCATGTTTGAATGGTACGTATCCTGTCCTTTATATGTTTCACCTCTCAGGTCCTGCTGGTTACCTGTCAGGGCCCTGGAAGGAGTGAAGTGAATATAGTTCCTGTTCTTAGGCAACTAACACTGGACTCCTGCCCCAAACCTTGGGGACCTTGGCTGCAGTCTGATGAACACAGTACCCTTGGTCTGTGTCTCTGAGGTGTTGGGGAAGAAGATCTGTGTGTTTCAGGAGGAACAACAATGCTAGTTGCACCTCCTGTGTTCCATACTCCATGGTCCTCAGCCCAGGGCTCTCCATGCCCTGCATTAGCACACAGATGCTCTTAGTCACACAGTTCCTCCACATTGTCTGCATCAATCTTCACTTAGCACGACACACTGGGAGAGTCCCTGTGTGTTCCCTGGACTGGGGGATGAGTGCTATTTGCTCAGGTGATAGCTGAGAGCACACATGGCAAATGGGAATATCATTGCTGGCTGGTGCATTTGCAGCCTCCGTCCTCTATTTACACAGGAGAATACTGGCTACACTGCCATGAGTGGACTCAGAAATATAGAGAACCCAACCCATACAGGAAAACCAAATCAGACAGGCAATGGTCAAGTAAGACCTTGCCTCTCACCTTTCACAGCAGTACAACATGGGCAGAAGTTCAGCAAAAGAAGGTTTCCACAGTCCTAGGGAGCAGCTAATGTGTTTCTGGTCCCACGATACTTGCCATCCGACAGAGGTCAGGGGAACTCCACCTCTGCCAGCCAAAACCCTGAGCTGTGTTGAGGGGAGAGAGGAATGCTGAGTGTCTACTTTCATGGAGTAGAGTGGAACACTGCAACATCCCCACCGGAAACCCAGTCCCCAGGCCATGCACACTTTTGGTGGAGAATGCTCCCTGGCACAGAGTGCTCTCGGGCATCAGGAAACTGAATCTCTTCTCACCTTGCTCTGGGAAGAAGGTTTCCCAGCTGGCCAGCCATCAGAGACAGTGCTGCCTGCTAAACCATCCTCACTCAGTGCCCACTGCAGCATAGGGTCTGTCATGTGTGGTCTCCACATGGAACCCCCCAGTGTTTTTATGGCATCCTCCTGCAGGAAAGGTAAGTAAGATATCTCTATATCTAGTCCTGTGGAATCTCTCAGTATCCCGTTTTCATTTCAGGCTCTTGGTATAGTTTTGGGAAACTCACAGGCATTTATTTTCAAGGTGAAAGAACCGATTCTTCCATTATTGTGAAAGATGTAGACCGAGGGACAATACATACAGTCATAGATTTATTATAAAGGAAACAAGAGCAATCTCCCTCAACATATTGCACATGAATGGCCTTGAGCGAGCTATGCCATGTGACCAATGTGTTAATCCTGAGGAGGACGTGGGTGCTCTGTGCAATCCAGTGTTGGAATGGGACTGCAGCACTTTCAGAAAATGCCCAATCACCCTTACTCTGCCTCAATGGCTCTGCTGTTCCTCTGCATACCAGGACTGAATGCCAATGGGGAATCTCTAATCTAATATGCTGCTGGGCCAAGTACACTGGTGGGAAAACTAAGGGCTCTTATTGGGAAGCCTATTAGTTTAGTGCCTTCAAGCCACCGTACGTGGTTGCAGAGCCCACTCACTGGTCTAGCAGGGCATTTGTTGAGCCCCCTGCTCAGCACTCATAATACCTTCACTTCTAATTTCCATGTAATAGTACTCTGCCCAGCAGGGTAATGTGACATTTCTCATGAGACAACAGGGGCAGCAGGAACTGCAACCAGAACATTGCTTCTTCTGTTCTGTTCCAGATATGGGTGGATTGATGATGTGGTCCTGCACTGGTCTCACAATGCGTATGGGCAGGTGTCTAGTCAGCAGGCCCAGTGAGCACATGGAGGCCACATGAACAAACTGTGTGTAACCTGTTCCATGATCTGAATCTGTAACCCAGCAAATGTGTGTGTACAGATACTGCTGCCTGCTTTATGTTCTGGATGTTTCCAGATACAGGGAAATGATTCTGTTGTCACTGTTGCTGTTGAACCTGTTTATTATAAAATAACATAAACTGTCTATACTGTATTATTCTAGTTGGTAAGACACTAGCTCCATGTGGCTCAAAAATTTAAGTCATAGAAAACTAACCAAGTTCATTTGCATATCTGTGCCAGCCACATTCTGAAGGAAATTCCTTTGAAGCACAGAATGACATGTTCTCTGTTTGTGTGAAAGTCAGACAGAACAAGAGTCCAGAAAGCTCTCTCGTCAGTTGGCTCACCTACCACATTGCTGCAAATGTGGGGGCTGTGCCAGGGAAAAGCCATAAGCCAGGACACAAGTCATTTCTCCAACATGGGAGGCAGGGACGCAGCCACTTGCACTGTCCCCTGTGGCCACTCAGGAAGGTGCATTCTGGAACAGAATCCGAGCCCGACCCCAGATGCTGCAGTGATGGGTCTGAGCTTCAAAGCAGCATGTTCACACTCACACCTATTTCCTTCCACTAAAAGACCTTTACTTGGACCTGTGCTCCTCGGACGACCACCTCTTGTTTCTACCAATTGCTCAAGGTGCTAAATTTGTCCAAATGTTCACAACCAAGAATGACAAGTCATAATCCTTCAAGCCTCCACATTGAATGAGAAATGGATTTGATTTTCCCTCTTGGTCCTTCCCTTTTAAGCTAATAGGAGTTAATATTTCAACTGGAACGTGATGGTAGGAGGTTGTTTGCCTCTCTGTGCAATGGCATAAACATAAAGTACTCAGGCCAGAGCTGTACTCTATATTTGTGTTGATTTCTTTCTATTTCAGACTATTTCCTGAAATTGCTTTGACTGTTCATCCTGAAGGACTGAGATCCCAGGGGTGCAGGCTTTGGTCCTCTGATTTCAAGTGCTGTAGATTTGCACCTCCTCGTGGAGGGGAAGGCTGTCACCATCCAACTGCTTACTTTTTCTGCTTCTCTAAGATTTTGCTGTTTTCCAATTAGGAAAGAAAAATCCATAAAGGGGGAAAGAGAAAGGGAAAACTCTCCCATCAGCATATAGAAGAATCACTCCCCAGTATCCACAATAGCCAGGACCACGCTGGAAGCCACAAACTTCTTCCATATTTCCCAAGTGGGTACTGGGTCCCAAGGGCTTAAAGCAAAATCCTCTCCTGCTTTCCAGGGCATAAGCAGGGAGCAGAACTAGAAGTCTATTAGAGAATTCAAAAATAAGAATCCATATACAATTACTAGATGACACACAGAGGCTTAGCCTAATACACTATGGTGCCAAACCATACAATTCCAGGTTTAATGCAGGTAATCCAGTGTGAACTCTTGTCCCACTGTGAGGGAGCAGTTGGGTCTATGAATCTTTGCGCCCCTACACAAGCTGTCTCAGAAGTGATTGTCCTCTCCATTCATTAAGCTCTCTTCATCAGAGGAATCCTTTGTGGGGAAGGGAGGGAATGTTCATGCTTGTCCTATAGTTGACATTAGACATCAAACGTGAGAACTTGGTAGAGGCAGCTGTTTCCCAATAGAAACAGAGATGACCAGATGTGCTTTCAGAGTGAAGATCAGCCCTGTAACAGCACACACAGCCTTATAACAGCACACCTTAGTCAGTGTGGCCAAGCCACATAGCTTTGTTTTGCAGAACTGTGACGGCAGCCAGGCTAGGGCTGAGGCACCAGCAGTGTGCCTGTGTGCTGTGGAGAGCACATTGCTCATGCAGTGTGCTCAGCAGATGGAGGAATGCAGCATTGTCATGTGGACAATTCAGCCCATTTCTAGGATCCCCAAAGAATGAACTCCTGCCAGGCAAACCACCTCCATGACATCAGCTGATCTCCCACAGTGAGTACTGTGTGGCCAAGGCTGGGACAGCCCTGGAGTTGCTCCAAGAAGTGGTCATGATGACCATCAGGGTGGCCGTGAGTACCATTAGCTGTGCATCTTAGCCCCAAGCATGTGATGACCCTCAGGCTCGGCCCCTTCTCCCTAATGATCTCTTTTGCCCTGTGTGCAGCTTTCAGTCCAAGAACTTCCAGTACGTGCTGGCCCTGATGTTTGCTATTGAGGAGATCAACAGGAACCCCCACCTCCTGCCCAACCACACTCTAGGATTTGATCTCTTCAATGTCATGCACAGCAATGTGAGGATGCTGAAGAATGCACTCATGTGGCTGACAGGGATAAACACAATCATCCCTAACTACACATGCAGGAGAGGGGCCAAGGCTGTGGCAGTTCTATCAGAGACTGGAATTTCCATCCAGATGGGGATGCTGCTGGAACTGTACAGAATCCCACAGGTGAGGGTGCATGGGACACAGAGAAAACTGAACCCATTCCACTGTGATGCACTTTTCAGAACAACAGGGTATCGTGGGATGGGGTATACACATAAGCCACAATGGGTGCTCTGAGCAGGAGTGTGCAGGATCCCCAGGATCCACTTAGGCAGCACAGAGCCCAACTGAGAAGGAGCTAGAGGGCTTCTCTGGATGTATGCTTCTGATGGCTGTTGATCCAGAAAGGTAGCCAGCAGACAGAAGATGAAAACGAGAGCTATTCTCATCTTTCGAAACACTCTTGCCAGTGTAACATCTGCTACATCAGTGTGGTGTGTTTCAGCAGTGCTGTCACTCACATGCTGTGCAATTTCCTCTCCTCAGCTCACACTGGGTCCTTTGGATCCTCTTCTGAGTGACAGCAGCTTGTTTCCCTCTGTCTATCAGATGGCCCCAAAGGACACTTCTCTGGCCCTCGCCATGGTCTCCCTGATGCTGCACTTTGGCTGGACGTGGGTGGGGCTGCTTGTCTCCGAACACCAGAAGGGTGTGGTGTTTCTGTCCGATTTGAGAGCAGAGATGCATGAGCATGGCCTCTGCCTGGCCTTTGTGGAGCTGATACCAGTCAACTACCACTTTGTTCCCTCAGTAGAGTTAAAACAGCCAACCCGCATCATGATGTCCTCAGCCAATGTGGTTGTTCTGTTTGGTGACACAGAATCATTTACCAACCTGATATTGGTGCTGACAAAGTCGCTGATCACATGGAAGGTCTGGGTCACTACCTCCCACTTGGACTTTGCCACCAGTATGCAAAACTTCCTGCTGCATTCCTTCCACGGTGCCCTCGTCTTCACTACGCAAAACAGAGAGATCTCTGGTTTCAGACCCTTCCTGCAAACAGCAACTCCTGCCAAGTATCCAGAAAACATTTACCTTGCCCTGTTCTGGCCTCTGGCCTTTAACTGCTCCATTTCCGATGCTGACTGTAGGACACTGCAAGGTTGTCCCCCAAATGCCTCCCTGGAGTGGCTGTCCTGGCAGGATTTTGACATGACAATGAGTGAAGGGAGCTACCACATATACAATGCTGTGCATGCTGTGGCCCACTCTTTACACAAGATGCATGAACATGCATCAGAAGTGCAGCCATCAGGGCCTGATGGGACTACAATGATTCCCCACTGGCAGGTATGCTGTGTTCCTGGACTGACAGGTCGTCCAGCTGATGTGTTTCCCTGGTGTGGTCCTGAATGTGGGAGGATCTCCTCACGGAGGACCCTGGTTCCAACATACAAGGAACCCTGCATGTGTACATTGTCTGGGAGGTAAAGGAATAGTTGGTCAGGGGTTTCCATCATCACCCATGTACCATGGACCAAGGAGAAGATGCTGGTTCAGTACAAGGGCTTTCGTGCAAAGAGCTGACTCCAGTCCACTCTGTGTTGACATAGCTGGTACCAGGATTGTATTATGAATTGCTCAAATTAGGCAGTCGAGGATTGAGCTCTGTCAGTGTCCAGTGGAGCTGAGGGCGCTAGTGCCCAGTGGGCATGAATGCTCTCTTACCTGCTCACATTGGGTGATGAGTCAATTCCTTCTGATGACCATTGATTGTTACACACTGGTACATTGAGTAAATCAGCCAACGTGAATAGCTGCTTAGGCTTCACAAATAAAAACCTTCAAAACCAGCCACCTGCTGCTGTGTGATGGGTCATGTTTTTGTCATTTTCTTTCTGTTTGACTGGGGAGTGGCAATGATTGAATGGAATTCTCTGTGTTCTTTCCTTTGTGTGATGCAGTTCATGGGGAGGCAGTGGTCACAGACAGAGGATTTGTCCTGCTTCAGTCTTGAGTATTCACATCTGGTCCACTTTCTCATAGGATGATGTGATTCTTTCAGGAGGTGCATCCCTTTCTCAAGAGCCTCCAGTTTACAAATCCTGCTGGTGACCCTGTGAACCTGGACCAGAAAAGAAAGCTGGCTGCAGCATATGACATTCTGAATTTCTGGAATTTTCCCCAAGGACTTGGCCATACCATGAAAGTGGGACATTTCTCCCCCTATGATCCACCAGGCCAACAGTTGTCTCTCTCTGAGGAGCTGATAGAGTGGGCCACTGGGATCACACAGGTGAGTTCATCATGCGGCTCCATCTGCAAACTGACAGCATCAGGATGCAGCGCTGTGCCCCATGGCCTCAGAATTACGTTTTGCAGCCTAAACCACTCCCTCTTCACTTCAGTGTGTTTGCATGTTCTCATTCTCTCAAGATCAAGAAAGTATACACAACTGTTCCCTGTGTGTTTTGAATCTATTTCCCTGCCTCTAGGCATACACAATATGGCATACACATAATGTAATAGAAGTCTGGTATTTACAAATAAAATTTCCTCATCTCCCAAACTCTGACGTGTCTCCTAGGAAGTGTGTTTTCCTGACCAGCTCCACATATGACCAACAGATGTGTCATTTTCCTTAGCCCCCACAATCAGTGTGCAGCACCAGCTGTGGTCATGGGTTCCGGAGAACCACTCGGGAGGGAGCGCCCACCTGCTGTTTTGGCTGCACCCTCTGTCTAGACAATGAGATTGCCAATGAGACTGGTAAGTGCAAATCTTCCTCACAGAGAAATTCCACAACTCTCTTTGCTGTTCTTTCAGTTCCTTCAAAAAATTATCAATATGTGGGATGATGCTTGGGAGGAAATTCTGCCTACCTTCAGAAAACAATTCCTTTTCATAATTATGAATAGTACCTCTACTCAAGGAACTCTGCCTGTTGAATTGTGTTGCATGTGTTAGCAGGAACACAAACAGGAGATTGAATGACACAGGAAGCATGATGCAGGTGACATACAGGCTGACATATGGCATCAAATATGAATAGAACATCATGTATGGAAGGGGCAGACAGACCACTAAGATGCACTAAATGTACATAACAATGTAGATCAGTGATAGAGGAATCAGCAAAGACCCTAGAGAGAGGTTGTGAAGCACAAGGAAAATCTGAGACAGAGTCTAATGAGTAGTGTCAGCTGGATTCGTATGCAAAATTAGCAATCAGAGATATGACATATCCAGAGGAAGTCATGAGGTTACTGCCTATGTGTCTGTGTTGTGTGTATGCATCTGCACATCTTCATAAGTCATAAAAACGTGTGTGTGCGTGTGTGTGACCATGCAGACTCAGTTTCTATTCATGCAGAAATTTTCAGGGATCTCTAGTAATTCTATCAAATGTCAGTTTGAAATCATACATATAGATTTGTTCAACACACTGAAAAATCAACATGAAATTGAAAAGCTGCAGACAAACACGCCAGTAGGGGCGCAGGTGATTTACAGGTGGAATGTGATTCCAGCACAAGTTCCAGTGAGTTCTCTGAGGGAAGCATATTAGGGGAGGCTGGCCTGAGTCCCTTTTCTTTGTCTGGAAGGTGGCCAGTTGCCTTAACCACAGTGGTTTTCCATCAGTGTTGGTCCCTTTTCATGTTGTAACCCAAGTCATCCCTTGGGAGATGCTCTGCTTTGAAAGACGCATGGTTTAGAGAAAATGAATAAAATCCATCTTGTCAGTAACAGAGAACAGGATTTTTACTTTACTCTGCTTTGCACCCATTTTTCCCACAGAGATTTCTAGTGCATTTCTTCATATATTTGTTCCAACACCTGGTCAGGAGCTTTCATCAACTTACAGAGAGCACCACCCCTCAACAGCACATCATATTAGGACATGGGTGGTTGGTTGAGGAGGCTATGAGAGAAGGGAGGGAAGTGTACTGTTAAAAGTAAGGCAGGGGGAGGCAGCCTGCTCATGCCACACATGAGGATGCAACAAGAGGGTACAATGTGTGAGAACATGGGACCACTGAAATCCAGTAACTTCCCTTTCAAATTGGAAGACCATGACCAAAGAATTTACAGAGCTAATAATGAATATGTCCTGAAAATTCTTTGTAAAGCAGCATGAACTGAATCAGCAGACCTCGTGGTAGTGTGAAAATACAATGTTCTCATGAGCACAGAGGCTGCCTAGTGGGATGAAGGAATGACTGATTCCCAAACAATGGGGAAGGTGGGCATTATTAATAGCCACGACTTGCATATCTTTCATGGAAATGCTATATCTCTTTAATGAGACTAGGACACGTACTCAAACAGGTCTCAAAGAGGGGTCTGAGTCTCAGAGAATTGCATGTGGGATGATGGCATCTCTCCTTACTCATCAGATATGGACCAGTGTGTGGCATGTCCTGATCACCAGTATGCCAACGCAGAGCATGACCGATGCCTGGACAAGAAAGTGACATTTCTGGCTTTCAAAGATCCCCTGGGAATGGCCCTGGCCTGCACAGCTCTGTCATTCTCCATCCTCACAGCTGCCATCCTAGGGGTCTTTGTGAAGCACCAAGACACACCCATCGTCAAGGCCAATAACCGCACCCTCAGCTACATCCTACTCATTGCCCTCCTCCTCTGCTTCCTCTGCTCCTTCCTCTTTATTGGGCGTCCCAACACAGTCACCTGCCTGCTAAGACAAATCACCTTTGCCCTTGTGGGCAAAGTGGGCAAAGTGGCTGTTTCTGCTGTGCTGGCAAAAACCATCACTGTGGTTCTGGCCTTCAAGGCCATGAAACCTGGAAGGACAATGACGCGATTGCTGTTGTCAGCAGCCCCAAATTCTGTCATTCCCATCTGCTTCTTCATCCAACTGACTGTCTGTGGCATCTGGCTGGGAGTCTCTCCTCCCTTTGTGGACACAGATGCACACTCTGAGCATGGACACATCATCCTCTTGTGCAATGAGGGCTCCAACACTGCTTTCTTCTGTGTTCTGGGGTTCCTGGGCTTGTTGGCCCTGGGGACATTCACTGTGGCTTTCCTTGCCAGGAAGCTGCCTGACACGTTCAATGAAGCCAAGTTCCTGACCTTCAGCATGCTGGTGTTCTGCAGTGTGTGGGTGACCTTCCTGCCTGTGTACCACAGTACCAAGGGGAAGGTCATGGTGGCAGTGGAGGTCTTCTCCATCTTGATCTCCAGTGTAGGTCTGCTGGCCTGTATCTTTGCCCCCAAATGCTACATTATTCTTTTCAGGCCTGAAAAGAACTTTCTGAAAGCATTCAGGAATACTCCTTCTAAGAGCAGCTCGTAGGACTGTCTCACAATTTAGCGTCATAAAACAAAGCTGACACTACTCTGCCTCTGCTTTCTGATGTTATAGACTGAGATGACTCAAGCTCATTTGCAATCATATCTGTTTCTCTTTTTTTACAAAGTAGTTCTGGGCACCAGTTCTACTCCTGCCAGCCCCACTTTCCATCCTACTCCCTGGTTTTTGCCTGGGAGAGCAGTCAAGGATGGCTCAAAGCCTTGGGACCCTACACCTGTGTGGGAGAACCAGAAGAGTCTCCAGACTCCTGGCTTTGGATTGGCTAGCTCCAGGCATTGGGGTCTCTTGTGGAGTGAACCAATGGATGTAAAATCTTGCTCTCTGTCTCTCCTCCTCTCTATTTCTGCCTTTCCAGTAAAAATAAAAAATCCTTAAAATAAAAAAATAGTTCAATGTCACAGTGTTCTTAGGTGACTATTCAGAGATAGAATCACTTCACACTTCAGGCTAAGGAAATTCTCAAGCATTTTAATTTCCATTGATTCCCTAATTCCTAACTGAAAAAACACTCATGTTTTGTCTTAATGTAACATATGAGCTCTCATGTTTTTCTGTTCACCTCCATTGGAATTTTATATTAAAGAGTAAATTTACATTCACTGTAGGTTTTCTGGATGTAATATTTTGTCAATATAATGTTCGCATGTATAAAATATTATCCATAAAATTCTTAAGCATAAATGTTATTATCAGAGAATATGAATGCTCTTATGTAATATGAATTTTCATTACAAATATATGCAGTTTTAAGATTATGGACTCTTGCATCTCTTCATTCTGATTTTTTATCTTAGCTTTAGGATTTCTTTTGTTTTCTTGTCCCTTGAACTCTATTTCTATGCTTGTCACACAGCCATCAATTTGCTTTCTACTTCCATGATATTGACTGTGTAGATTATTTCCTATAATTGACACCTTGCCCTGGATGAACAACAAAGCTGGCCTTCTGTGCTTTAGCATACTGTTCTCTTATGTCATCCACATGTTACCAAAATCCCTCCTATTTTTCATGAGAAATCAATACTTCATTCTATTGATACATTGAGGTGTATTTTGTTCTCCCTAAGTGGAGATGGTGTTTGCTGAATAATTTGTTTCATGTAGGCTGCTGTAAACACTGGTGTGTAAACATTGGTTTGAGTGGGTATTGTCAGGTCTTTTGGGCATATGGCTAAAGGTGGAATGGTTAGGTCATAGTTGATTTATATGTCTATTCCTTGGAAAGGATCCAATAATTTGGATACGGGAGCTGTATTTATCGTGTCTCTTTCCATCCTCCATGTATGTTGGCTCTGCAGTTCCCTGAATGACCTGTCACTTCTAATGATCTTGCTCTGCCTTTGTAAATCTCATGGTATCTTACCTGGTGTATGTGAGGTGCTATCTCAATGTGGCTTTGATGGCTACATCTATGGTGACTGATGATTAGTGGGCTGTATGCTGCTTTTTAGCCACATGTTTATCTCTGCAAAAATATTCAGTTTCTATTCCCATTGTCAGAGGTTTTTCTTCTACTGTTACTGTTGTTGTTGCTCCTACTTCTAAGCTTATTTTGATGCCAGGCTTTCTCTGGGGTGCTTTGTGGGCATCTCCCATTCTCTGCATGGTGTTTTCTCTTTCATGATGTCATTCATACACAAAGTGTTTTGGTGTGATGCAGTGTGGCCTGTCTGTTCCTTACAAGCATGTACCTTAAGACAATAAATAAATGCACGTGGAATGTATTGATAGCACTATGTAAAGCTAATATAAATTTCAGGTGATATAACTGTTTAAGATGAACCCAGGTAATTGAGTAAATCTGCAACTAACTGGATGATGCCGGAATACATTGTTCAGGTAGTTTAGGGACTCTGTTTACTTTGACATGAAACTCATGAGATTTTGTTAAAAATTCATGTATTTATGTGAATGTCAGAGTTAGACAGGGAGAGTTCCAGAGAAATCTTTGACTCAATCTTTCCCTCCACCAACAGTTGGAAGAGCTGGAGTTGGGCTGACCTGATGCCAGCAGCAAGGATCTCCTACCACAATGTCTCCCACGTGGGTGCAGGTGGCCAAGCACTTGGTCCGTCCTCTGCTGCTTTCCAGACACATGAATGTCTTTGTACAGCACATGATCTTTAATGCCAGATGAGTGCTCATAAACACTTTGAGTTTTGGTTTGTTCTGGAACATCTTCATTTCATCTTCAATTGATGATTTAATGGAGATGATCCACAATGGCACTGCCATTTGCTAGGACTAAGCATTCACAATATACACTGTCAAAAATAATTCAAACTGCATCCAAACATACCATGACATGATGCAATAATCCCATCTCTGGCCATATAGTCTAAGATATTGAAATTGATATTTAATGTTTACTGAAATATTATTCTACATTACATTTGAATGGCACTACTTATTGAAACAGCTTTAGGGCCAAGTTCACACCAACCAGAAATCCTAACCTTAGGAATGAATGCATAGCACCCTTTTGTTAGTTTTCCACTGCAGTACTGTTGATTAGGGCCTATAAGGCTGTCACCCTATAGGCACTGGCTTACCTGGTGGGATTAAGGCAGCAATCTTGAAAGGCAGACTGCTCAGAGTCTAGAGCCTGGTCGAGTCTTTTTCCTCCTATGACTCTTCCACTCCATGGCTCTGTATGGTCACTTAGACACAGCCTTTCATGTGTGCCTATCTTACCCAAAGCTGCAGCATGTAGTCTTATCATTTTAATTGCCCTTTAGTAATTAGAATGTTTTAAATGTACCAACATGGTTAAAACATAGAATAAATAAAAAGTTTTACAAGGAAAGAAACCACCAAAATCTTCTTTGGAATTAACAGAAGCTTAAAAATAACTACTTTTAAAAATAATTCAATTTTAAAGTGTTTCACAACTTCCATTATGGGTTGTTGTGACTTTTTTTTTTTCTTTAGCAGAAACAGCAATTATTTTAAAGTGCCAGATCCTATCTTTCTCTTCTTGATATTATATGTGTCACACATGCTTTTTCATTCATTTTATTTTCACTTCCCCTTTCATCTGCTGAACTCAATGCAGCATAATTTCCTCAACTGGTTTTCACATTTTCCATGAGCAGTATCAGTAGACTCAAAGTTCAAGTTTTCCTGAAAAGGATTTCCCCTCACATGGTAAGGTGAATTAAAGGATAGACAATCACATCCATAAGCTACTATCATTTGTGTTGGTTGACAACACCTAGATTTGTCCCACAAAATTCACAACAGTCTCTATCGTGAAGCTGCTTCTGGCTCTAGCCCAAGAAATTCTCCCACTTTGAGACAGGTTAGCACATGATAAAACACATTTTCTTGATAAGTGCCTACACTTTCTTGCTTCTACATCTTGATATGTGTTGCATTGAGACAGCACACTTTAACTGGTACAGTTGATCATGGGAGGCAGATAGTTAAAAACAGTGTTTTAACTTACTGTAATTAAACACAAGGACAAATGGGTAGGTAATTCTGTGTGAAGTGTATTTTATATCTGATTTTCAGAAAAAGAAAAATAAGTTGTAGTCTTTAAGAGCCCAAGGAGGAGACAAGATAGCCAATCGGGGAAGGTAGGTATAGCTGAGAGTGTGAAGAGCTTTGAGACAAAAACAGGTGGAGCAAAGACCTGCAAAAGGAAATTCACTGAGCAAGGTGATTGAGTCTCTTTGGAGTTGACCAGAGGGAAGTAGTAGCCACACAGACAAGGAATAACTACTACAGATATCCAAGGTTGCAGCTGGCAGCCCAAGAAGGTGAGTGCAGGAGAGCTAGGCAAAGGCACTGCAATCCACAGACAAATGCCTAGTGAATTTCAAACCAGTAAAAGGTGAACAGGAACAGGGAGACTCCCAGCAGAGTACTCCCCAAAGACACAGTGAAGCCACAGTTCAAAACCATAGTGAAGGAAGGCAAAGCTGAGAAGAAACCCGCAGGCACCCAAGCATAAGCACCCCCTACACGCCAATCAAGGTGGGCGTGCTATTGCAGAACAAGCCATTGCAGAAGGAGTGTCTGGGGAGTGAGCCATCTGAAAAGGGACATACCCACATCTGAAAGGTCAGTAGGCTAAATTTCCTGGCGAGATAATGAGACTCATGTTCCCTGGGGCAGAGTCTAGATTGGAAGCAACTGCACAATTCCAAGTGTGAACCACAGGTAAACCCCAGATGCATTTGTGTTTACCAGCACTAGATCCCAGATACTAAATAACATAAGAGGGTATGGACAAGCTGCACAGGACCTCAATTGTAAGTGCCTGGGGACATGGATAACTGATTTGCCAAGGCAGCTGAGAGGCTTTAGACAGGTTGAGTCAAAGAGAAGCTCCCCAGGTTGGTGCACATCAGATGTCCTTCAGCTGCTCAAACCCAGTGTTAGCTGTGGCTGGCAAGCAGTGACACTGAAATACCGAGTAACACAGGAACATGAAGACCTGCAGAACACACCTGCTGTGGGAAGTGCATTGTGATGCGTGTACCTAATCCGCTGAGGTAGCTGAGAGGTTGAAGACAAGAGTAGTCAGAAAGGAACTCTCCCCAAGCAGGCACACTGCCAATGTCCCTGTACCTCAGCAACTTCCCTGGCCCAGAGACCTCAGAAAACAACAGCAAAACACCAGAGATATAAGGCCCCACATGGGCAAGCGCATTATCAACAGGAAGGGGAAAGCTCACAGATCTGAAAGGCCATGGGAAAAGAAAACAGAAAAACAGGAAGCAACTTAAATGTGAAAGCCAATGTTTCCCTCAAAAATGAACAAAAGACCACGTTGGTTTTAGAACTGTGGGTGAAGATATTCAAGACCTCCCATATAGGGAATATGAAAGTCTACAAAAATAGTGAGAATTGATGGTTAGAACTCAAGGAATTTAAGGACTTTCACCAGAGACAGAGAATCTGTATAACACACCAAACTGAATTACTTGAGCTAAAGAATACAATAGAAAACCTCAACAGTAGAATGAATGACT